CAATCAATAAATCAAAGCTACGAGCCAAAGCAAACAATACGCATTTGGTTGACATGAGCAATAACAAATGAGGGGTATATCATCTAAACTGACCAAGTCCATTTGGCGCAATTTTTCAAGAGGGCAGAAAATATTTAGTAGACTAGACTTAACTTTATGGCGTGAAAATATGTCTCCATCGTTGACTAGTAATCACAAAGTCAACGACAGAAGCTTGATTTTACGCCTAAACAAGAATACATGTGTACATAAAGTTTTTTGCTCTCCTGAAAAATTGCGTCCAATGGTCTTTGTTAGTTTTGCATTTAAACCCTTCATATTTAACTCACTTTATCAAATGCATTGTGCTTACTTAACAGTTCTTTTTATAATAACTTAACAATGATATAGTTCCGCAATCCCTTTATTTTCTCTGTGGCTCTACAATTTAATTCAAATCTTGAACTGACATTGATCATTTCGTAACATTACCAGATTTTTTTGCATATCATGTAAATGGTCTGTGCGGGAATTCTGGAATAGTTCATCGCACTATCCTATAATCTACTGCTCAGGCATCCGGTTGTAATAGTTTGGAGACGACCAATCAGAGCAGCCGGCTCTAGAATTCTCATACCGGCAACGGTACAATCCGATTACGCCATGCCGATTATCTGAAACTTAGGGTTCGACCTACGACAATAGAAGGAACATAATACATAGTTTCAGTTGCTCCGTAATAGCACAACGTTGACACAACAAAAACTTTGCAAACTTTGCACGGGGCTCTGAGAAATACGAAGAACATGATCGGTGGTACAATGATGTTAGAAGGTCAAGATAAACTAGACATGCATCCACCAATATAATGGAGCTTGCACAACAGCTTAGATTTTGTGATCATTTTCCTTCATCCGTCTTCTAGTCTCCTCTTGTAACATTTAAAATTATATATTTTGATGTGTCCTACATCATCTTTTATTAAATGATTCACACAATATTAAGTTAGAGTAAACGATTTCACCATGTCCTTAGCTTAAACCAATAGCGTGTTGTTGAATGTATACTAATTTGTTGCGGGACAATTAACGATGAAAGAGATTCTAAATGAATCACATTGTAAGCCTAAATATATGAGGACAATTTGCTTATTGGACAACCACATTCGTTTGCTTTAGGACTGTCCCATTTGATTAGAATATTTTTGGCTACTGTTTGCAACAGCTTCATCGACGTGTTTATCCATCGTATAACTGCGTTTTAATAGGAACACTAATTTAAATATTAACAGAGCATTGACAGAGAGAATACAGAAATATATCTAACCGTATATTTTGTTTCTATGTCGATACAAACCTAGGGGATGGCAATGCAGTTGTTAGATATAACTACTTTTAATTGAATTGTTTTAGGTCTACATTCAGTTGCTTTTCTGGTATGAATGCTAATAGTATATTATGAAACGATGTTTATATGTAATGATGGCTATTAATACAAGAGTATGAAGTCTATCTTACAAAAAGAGCAAGGGAAGACAAAGGCTCTTAAAATTAATGTGTAAGTTTAAGAAATCATTACATGAAGTTTCATTCGACACTTTTTGAACGATTAAAGAAAACTAATTCAAGTTAAACCTTATAATTTCGGACTTTTCTCGTTCATCTGGTCGTATTTATTATATGTCTAATTCACTTTTGTTAATAATTTTAATATTTTGCTATTTCATTGCGGTTTACCGCCCCGCCTCCGGTGGTAAATATATTTACTAGAATGATTACCAATGAAAAATTACATCCCAATGCTTCGTTTGCTAACATCGCTCTGGCTGGTCGTCAGCTTATACTATAACCTGAAGCTGAATCACAGAATATTGTTATAAAAACAGCTACAACCAATTATAATTCTGTAACAAAAATATACAACGGAACAAGATACACTGGTGTGTATGTGTGTGTGGAATAAAAGTGGATGTGGGGTTATTCGACAAAGTGAACACAAATGTTGGTAATTGTTTCTAACGACCAATGTAGTACATTGAACATTCTTTGGATATTAGTTATCACTGTATTTCAGTAAACAGTATTTACGGGACATTTGAGAAATGTGAAAGAATTAAAAGATTACAATTTAGTGAGGATTTAATATGATGTGTGATTAATATGTGACAAAAACACCTTGTAGTTACTATGTATTTTCTCAATCATTTAGAATTCCCTATTACAGCTTGCTTGAGAAAACAATGAAATTGCGTGAGTAACAGTGCCTCACTATTGCGCTTTATTCTCGAGGAAAATAGCAAAATTGTTATTCAAAATGCTTCTACAAAATGCTTTAGCATAATATTATGGTAAACGTTCTATTTATAAAGCAAACATACGTTCTATTAACAAACAAAACAAACTTTATGTGCAAATCCATTCACGGCACCTTTTAGACACTAAAAAAAGGTGTGCGCAAATGCATATAATTTTCACAGATGAGATGTTGTTCATTGGAATATTTAATTTTAATGCATAATTCTTTAGTAAAATGGAATTTTTTGAGATAACGAAAGTCCGCAGACCCTCCTGTTAATATGCAATTTTTATGTAAAACATATTTCATGTTTATATTATAGAATAACCGTACATTATTCTTTCGTAGCAAGTTTGGTTTTTGCGTTGAATTTTATTGCGATTGATCTTGCAGATCTGCGACCTGACTTCCAAAATTAATATTATCACGGCAACCTAACTCTATAAACAATTGCTAGCATGTTTTCGTCTGGAACCGTTTGATTAATGAAGCAATAATATTTTTTAAACAAATTTTCACAACTGAGCAATTTAGTTTTGATCACAGGAACAGGAACTCTCACGAGACTACGCTTAAAGAAAATTTCAAATGGTCTTACAAATTTTTACTTTAAAAGATTGACGCAGGGACTATTCTTAATAATTTTCGGTAAAGTTTCTGAAATGAATAATCATTATAAAGTAAGTTGAATGAATATTTATGGTTATTATTACTATTATTTCATCTTATCCACTTGAATTTTTATTCGTAAAATTCAATATAGAGATGGAGAGGTTCTACAAATTCCGACGGCGAGAAACTTTCTAAAACAAGCTGAATAGCTGGTTCAAAATCGATCACGTCTGGCAGTAGCAGTCCTTCTTCTTATTGGTCGGTTCCGCAGATGCCGGAGCTGAACCTGAAACAACGGACCACGAACCGCGCGCGATCCTTCCTTCCCCTGCAAAACCTCATTCCCAGTCCTAAGCGAACCGATAGGCTCATTAAGCACTCACCATATTGATTGCTTCCGGGCGCATCAACCGCTATGGTGGTTAGTACCGTTAGTGTTTGAATGGTTTACCCCAGAAGTTAGCGTTGATTCCTTCCCTGCTGGATGCTGAGATCTGACACCAAACTACATGTTCCTCTCCAGGTCACTCCTCCAGCCGGGTCAAACTAAATTCCCGATTAGTCTGCCGATGCAGTGCATGTAATTGTGTGTGTGTGTGTGTATGTGTGTGTGTGTGTAAGGGGAGAGGATAAAACGAAGAAGAGGAAAGAAATGTTCCGTTTGTTAGGGTACTGCTCCAGCATTCGCCTGATGTTGATTAGAAAAAATACGGAAAACTACCGATCAGAGTATCCGGCCGCTAGAATTCTTTTCCAGAGAGCGGTTGAATTCAGCCTCGACCTGCTAAAGTCGAAAATCCACCACTCCCGGGACTCGAATCCGAAGTCCTCCCGATCAGAGACGTTGCAATACTGGCCGACACACGACGTCGACGCTGCACAAGAGAAGAGATACATCTCGAAATTTCTCATTTTGTAGAAAAAGGGATTTACTCTGAAAGCAGCCGTTTATTTCGTGGCCAAACGAAAAACGTTCTACTGTATTCGGGGTGATCCAGAATTGCTTTGGAGCCTCGGAGAGACGAATGTGTCAGGATATGACAGGTCATGAATGATATCCTGTTCTCGCGAAATGGAACGCGCCTTCATGCCAGAGAGAAAAATGAAGAGTCCTGTGATGTCAAACTTTCGATACACTCTGGCAAAGGGGCTATGGAAAGAGGTCTTCTTCGTTCAAAAGCGGTGGTCCTGGGCAAAAGGCGAAAGTGATGCGCGTAGCTCTGAGCGACACAGGATGTGCCATAATACCATCATGTGCGTTTTCGTTTATTTGTCACACGTTCTACCTAATGCATTCATTATCAGGTGACAATGGAATTTCAGCATGTTTAGTAAAATATATTTTTTCAATTTTATACGAAGCATTCGCTTTTATACAAAATAATGATTTTTTAGGTGAGTCAGTTTTCTTGTGCAGCGAAGGTATGTGACATAATTCAGGCATTAAACTACCGGTGCTACAACAGCATATACTTTCTCGCGTTATTTGTAACGGTTACGTAATGATATAATACAGTCGTGTAATTTAAAGAAAATAAAACATTACATCAAAATTTCCTGTATGTCACATCATTCAGTTTATTGAGCTCTATTTATCCATCTACTCATTCAAAAAGTGTGGAAACATACTTGAGACATTTTTGAGAAAAAACTTTTTTTTCTACAACTGTATACAAATGTGGATTCTAACCATTGCTATCTGCACATGAAGAAAGTATTTTTTTAATATCCACTAAATCAATGCAGTTGCCAAAACAACTGTCTTATTACCGCGAAAAAAGGTATTTCGCACATGGAAATGTAAATCAGTAACCAGATTCCTTAGTAAAGCGCTTCTGCATTTATGGCCCTGTGTAATACACTGCTGATCTCTCAGAGATAACATTTTATTTAAAGTTAAAATTACTAACTTAATTCAAATATAATTTTTATTCAGTTGTAGAAAAAATGTTAATATTTCTTGAGCGAAATGGTTGTGATTTTTCCCTGGTCTCAATTATTTTTTTTTGCCGAGACCGTTGGTCGAGGCAAAAAATTGAATCTCGACCACTCGCTTTGCGCACTTAATATTAAAACGACTATTTAAAAATATTTTCAAGAAGTTGGTTGGTGTACTCACAGTAGTCTTCGTGGTGCGTCTTGCTGACGATGCGGAAGACGTAGTCGGTGGCCTCCACCGGGGAGTCGCTTTTGTACACGTCGGCGATCGGCTTGCCCACGCGCCGGTGCGGCGCGAACACGTTCCCTGCGCACGTGCACGTAGCGTTTATTAACGGCGCCTTTTTGTTATTTGTGGAAAAAAGTTTGTAAGGCAATAATTGCCGACAATAAATGCAATTAAAAAAAATATTAGGGAGCTTTTGCGTACTTTGAATAAGCGAATGTGTAGTTACTATACCTTGGTAGTGCGTATCATGTTTAACCGCTCACCAGAGGTGCCGCGAATACGGCGGTTTGCCCTTTCAACTTTGCGCGTCGCATGTCCACCCAACAGCGGCCCCCTGACTTCATCTTTTTACTTGCTTACGTTTGGGCATGAGCGTACCACTACCAGCCCTGCGGACCACACAGGGCATGTTTACGCTCACAAATGACCACGATACGAGAGAGAACAAGCCCGTGTTATCAGGAAAATTGGTTTCATTTGTGGTACTTTCACCCGCCGAAGGGGTAAACTCAGACGCTTCTATTTGCAAGGGCAAAACTGCCACGCTTTCCAAGAATGTGTAACTTCGCTTCCTCCACCGCGGGCATTTTTTGCCCCGAGTACTTGCAACTAAGCGAGTACTTGGAGCTTGTTGGTGAGGCATGTTAACCCTCAGAACGTGCATTCGATCCCCGATGAGGTACGTGGATTTCCAAAGTAGAGAAATCCCCAGTGACCATGCCGTATTTGCCGCTTGTCTGCCTACCTGACTAAATACCCTGCCAAATTAAATACTGTAATGAATATTTTTCGCAGCGATGCTCAGACCATCGGGCCTGCTCTTCCGCCTGACCAAGCAATATTCGCTACGCTCCTTTCACCGTCTTGCTGGGAAAGGGGGTATTACTCGGGCGAAGAAACGGGCGATTTGAATTTTGCTCCGTGAGTTCTTTTAGGACTGAAAATATTCTACGTGCAGTAAATCTACAATATAGGACAGCTGGATTTATTTCCCTTCTGAAAGAAGGCTTATGATGATTTTCGCCCTTAAAACACCTCAGCTTCGGTCGGGTTTGACCCGTGTACATGAGTGTTACAGTTCGATACGCCAACCGTTACACAATACAACGGCAATTAACGCCATAATCAGATCCCGTATTTGCTTAGTCAGTGAAAGCTTCAAAGTAATGACACACATGATGACATTGTTGTTGTGGCGCTCCCTGGTGGCTAATATAGAAGTCAAAATTGACTGGCATCGCCGGGAACCTGTAGTGTGTGAACTGAAAATGCAATTAGCAATTTTGCCCACGTCGGGAGTGGTCTATGTTTAAGTGCTCGAGCAATACAAACTAGATAATGTAATGTGAAATTAAACAGAAATTCGGCTACTCTAGAGCTCACGGTGGGTGACCTTTCTAAACTCATCACTTGCAATTAGACGTGAGTGCGTCAAACCGGATGAGGGGAGGGGGCGCCTGTTTAGCTCTTCGCAGAAATCAGGTCAACCCATCAACACGGACCGAAAAATTCGCGTAAGTCATCTCTGTAATGTTCAGAGAGTACCGGATAAAATACCATATTAAGTTAATGAATTCCATGTTAGTTACATGGGTGTTCTCTGCTTTGAGAAAACTTTATTGAATTCAAAATGCAAAAGCGGCAAATATTTTTTTCTTTCATTGCAAATCTTTTAAAGTTCATGCTATATTATATAGTAAACTGGCGGTAGTAAACAGATATTAAAAGAAAAATTCATGTCTTTAGAAAATGATTTATTTTTGTCGCCATTTCAAAAACGCTAATCAGGCGCATGATATTCCTACATCAGAAATGGAATAATAAAAGGGATTGCGAAGATTGATTGTGAAGTGCACAAGCACCATAGAGACTCTACTTCGCAGATTTATACTACCGTGATAATGAAAATGAAAGTTGTCTGATTGTGATCATCGTTTTCAGGTGACAATACAGAAACAGCAAACTTTTAGCAAACGGCTGGGGACAGATAATAGTTTAGCGTCTGCGATGCAATTCTGATTGAAAGATGAATAAAATTCTTTAGGACATAATATTGAAAAAAATAGATTCAATACATAATTTACAATTTTCTTGGAAGTTAAAGTATATTAGTAGTCACCACGTTTTGACTGTATCTTCTTTTTTATTACAAACATCAATAATGTATTTTAATAGATTCTAGTGCCTAAATTCTAGTGCCTAAATATATTTTTCATTTCTCCTAATGCGGAAATTTCGAGTATTATTATATTGGAAATACTTGAAATAAAGCTTCAAAGAGTCAGAATTTAAAAGTACAAGTTTTTTATAATCATATAATGCAGACAGCACAATTAATTTTCTTTTAGATTGAAAATGGTTTCCTTTAGTTGTCTGAGGCAGCACGGGGCCGCTGGCAATCTGACACGATATAGTTAGTCGTCGAAGCCCCCGAAAAGGTCAAGGCTCCATCGATTTGATGTACACTCACTTCCCCCTGCTTCTGGACAAAAGCGGATACAGACAGTATCTTCTTCAGTCAATCAACCCCTCAAAAATTGCCTCAGAGAGTAATAGAGTCTGAAGCAATTTTTAAGATAATTTTGAAATCAAATTCAGTGTTTATCCGGAAGAAATTAAACTAAATATTTCCAAATTTCCAAATTCTTTCTAAGGTAATATTCAAATAATATATTTTCCCTTTTATTTACGGACATTTCATGTCCGTACTACATGTTACGGACAGAATTAGAAGTTAAAAACATCTTAAATGTATGAAAGCGCTTGTTTTGGATTGTTGCAATATTTTCGGTGTCTTATTACAATAATTAATATATACTATTATGTTTTTACATATCAAAGATATTGACATTGTAACCTTGCAGTAATGACCTTCATAGTTTAGTTATAAATAAACAATTAAGAATTATTGAAAAGGGTATTTAATGGAAAATTTCCAAGTTAACAATCTGTACCCGGTGCTTGTAAAGTGGTCGTACTTTCATTTCAAAACAAAATATGCATTACCGGTATTTGTATTATGAGTATTGTAGATTTCGGCAGTTATTTAAATTATATTAGTTTTTGTACGTACTTAAGAATCAATGATGAATTAGTAATTTTATACCACCAAAATAATTAATAACAAAAACTTCAGTCGGCATTTAAATACACGAATCTTGGAACAAACTTAAAACTGATGCCAAAAGTGGATCTTACCTTTTCCGTGTGGCAAACAAATCGATCGAGGAAGATGCCTGTGGGAAAACAGGCCTTTCTTCAGGTCTTCAGGCACATGTAGGTCAAGTTTCACTTGGAGAGGGCATCTTACCTTTGTTACACTGCCGTCGAATCGGGAAACGAGTTGACCAAGGAGAAGAATGCCCGTGTCCAATCAGACCAAGTAGGAGAAAAGTTGGGGAAGCCATCTTACCTTTGCCGCGTTGCGACCAGAGCGGCGGGTCGAGCTGGCCATGGGGGAGCAGACCTGTCTCCAGGCAGGATAGGAAAGACAGCAGGTGGCCTCCCTTGGGGAAATGTATGGGTGGGCGTTGGACTCCATCCTGGCCTACCAGCACGATGGTGCCCCCGCTGTCCGCTGAAACAGCAAGAAGGCTTGCATAAAGGTAGTGGACCACGGAATTGATTGCAGTACTTATTTCTCTGCGGTATGTGACATGCAAACTCTGTGTATCGTATAAAACATTACTGGTTATCTGAAGGCGTGTAAAGTCTAGTACATAATGCTGTGTATTATTTGTTTAGGTCTATAGAAATGTACTTAAGACACAATTCATGTAAATTTACTATCAAAATGGAAAATATGATACTATTTTATCAAATATTGTGTCGTAAAAACGTATGTTTTATGTTAATTTTCTTATTTAAATATATCTTCTAATAATTGTCCAATAGGTAGTTACACTTACATGTTCATAAAAATGTTAATTGCGTTTTGGAAAAATATTATAATACAGTTTTCATTTAGTTGAATTAATATATGAGTGAAGATACTTGTAAAGGAAAGGAATACAGTGATAAAATAAGTTTAAAAAATGGAATGTTAGAAATTGAGATTAAATATGTTGCAATTCTAATTAGGATCAGTAGCAACTTGGGATCTATGTAGCACCAGGTAGGAATTTTGCAAGTTGTAGAAAATATACATTTAAAAAACTAGGAGAGTAAATAATCCTGATTAGCTTCAGCGCGATTCAATTTTTGACTCGCCTTGGAGCTTCGTTCTTTTCGTCCAAACAATAAGTTGCTCTTCAGGGATTTTTATTGTTCTGAAGTATTTACTTATTTGCAATTATTTCAAAAGCTAATGAAAATGTACTAACTGATAAAATGAAAACAACTGTAATTAATATAGTAATAACTGTTGATTATTTTTTACATTGAAAAGAAAGAAAAAAATTGAATACTATGGTCACAAATCAGAAACAATCCGGTGTATTTTTGTTTCACCTTACCTTGCTGGTGACAATGGACGTACACGATCTCATCGACGCGTACGTTCAGCGCGTAGTCCCAATATATGCTGCAAGGAAGTCATTCGGGTTACATAACTGCAGCTACACATGTGTCGTGCATCGATTTGAGATTGCGCAACAGTTTGAATAAAACAAAACCGTCTAGTCCAATACCACGGAACGCTTTTGGAGAGTCAACAGTATTCACAAGGAACGTAAAGTACTTCTAAAAGTAGAATATTGAACAATCTTATTGTCAAGATATTGAAGTTCAATTGAAGGGCTTGGGGTAGTAAAAAGAACCGCCACACCCTCTCTAGCAAGCCTCTTACTATTCAGACGTGATAATAGTACGTAGTATTTATTAACATTTCGCTGACTTATACTGACTCTTACCAATCCTCTTCTGTACATAACTTGATCAGTCACAAAATGTAATTTCGCTGCATTTGAGTAAAATCACGTAGTATACAATATGATATATTTATGATTAATTTTAATACATCTCTCACTTGAAATAAGTAAATTTAATCCCACAAATGCTGTGAGAGCATTCCATTTTCTATTAACTGCTTCCTCCCTTGCTTTCATTCCTGTCTTCAACGTGAGAAACCCTTCATCCAAATTGCATATGTATTTTTTTGAATAACCTTATTATCATGAACTCTTGTATTAAACATTTTTTTGAAAGTGGTTAGGCGGAATAGCATGCCAAATAGCCTGAGCCTCGCCACCAATAAATACATTTATTTATTTATTTATTTATTTATTTACAATATATTGACTTTAGTGGACTTATTACTGTACCAATCACGTCCCTAATATGAACAAGATATGCAGTAAAATGATGTTCCGATATTTTCACCAAAATTGAGATATTAACGTTTATGATGAGCGGGAGACTGGTGGCTCGTGTGGCTCATCTCGTTACGACCCACGCCCTTCAATTGCATAGTCCAGACATTAGCATGATTTTTAAAACAACATTTAATTGTTTTTGCCCTTGCGTGTGTATGATGAATAATGACGTGTAATAGTTACTATTGAATTTTGTAGTTTGTAGCAGCTTCTGCAAAATAGTTACATTTGTCAAACCAGGAATACATTTTTACCATAATAGTTGAATCCAAAGGTATTTTTGTTTTGTAATGGAGATGACACACAATTATAATATTAGATGTAAAGAATAATTGTATTGAGGACGAAGTAAATATAATGGATTGTTGAAAATAATAATACGTCATTAAATGTAGGGAAATATATGTTACAATAGGCCACATAAAGCAAAATAAAAAGAAACTTGCAAGGGCGGAGACAAGAAAAAGCGTACGATTTTATTTGCATTGCAAATCACAAGCCACACTGACGTTCGTAGTCTGAACAAAAGATGTCCACAAGATCGTGATTTTAATACAGTATTTGTACTTTTAATGAACCCAGAAATGGTATGATATTCAACTCAAACGGCGTATGAAAAAGTTTTATTCCTTTTTCACTGCTCTTCGTCGGCTTTTAAGGGTCTTTTTATGCATATTACCGAAGTTACTTTAATTTCCGATCTCAATTTTATTGAACTTGCTCATCTTATTGCGCTGCCGCGCCGTTTCGTAACGAGACTGACCTCTAATTTGTTTCACTTTTTTTCAAGATGTTTCGAAGTGAATGAGTAACGAGAAGAAAGATTTGCGGAATTTTTCAGTTAAATGTATTATTCTCCATTGTGCAAAATAATTTGAAATGTGAAACTCAAAGACACTGCAACGCCGGTGCTTTGCATTCAGCTTCGACTCGTTACTCCATTCAAAAGACATATCTGATGTGACTGTGTCTCGTGATTATACAATGCACACAAAATATCGTGTTGTAGTGCCGCGCATAGAACGAAGAATTGGAGAGAATTAGAGAACGGACAAATAGGGAGCGAGTAGAGGGGTGTTGAACGGAGTAGGAGAGAATAGCGAGTGGAGTTTGGAAAGCGAATGGGAACTGGGCATGTCAGAGCTGGAAGTGGAACAAAGGTAGAGGATGGGCAGTCGAGCACACCGGTGTTGGGGATGGGGAGAGGGGGGACTGGAGACGGAGGCAAAGGGAAACGGAAGGGAAGCAGAGCAAAGCAGGAGAAGGGAGGACCAGCGGATACAAGAAGATAGGGGTGGAGTAGAACAGGTTAAAACAGGACTGACCTTGCGCGTGATTGACGAGGACGGAGAAGAATGGGCTAAAGTGGGATCGGTCTGGGCGGGAGAGAATCGGGAAGCGAGAAGTTGCATGGAACGGGGGGCGGGGCGGGGGCAGGGTGTGGACTGGGGTGAGGATCCAGCTTGGAAGCCTGGCGTGGAGTTAGGCGGGGAGCGGACGGAGAAGGGGTGCGACGAGGAGCAAGGCGAAGAGTGGAAATGGTAACGTTGCGTGGCGTGAGATAAGGAAATTGGGGTTGACGAGCGCGGAGAGGTGCGGGGCGACGAGCGGAGTGAGGAGCGGTGTGAAGAGCGGTGTGAAGAGCGGGGTGAAGAGCGGGGTGAGGAGTGGGTGAGGAGCAGGGTGAAGAGAAGTGTGAAGAGTGGTGTGAAGTGCGGGGTGAGAGCGGGGTGAGGAGTGAGGTGAGGAACGAGGTGAAGAGCGGAGTGAGGTGCGGGATCAAAGAGAGGGGTGGGGAGAGAGGTGAAGAGTGGATGAGAGCGGGTGCAGAGTGGTGTGAAGAGCTGGGTGGAAAGTGGTTGTAAGGGCGGGGTGAGAGCGGGGTGAGGAGCGGGGGGAAGAGCGGGGTGAGGAGCGGGGAGGGAGCGGGTAATACTCTAACGGAAAGGGCAGAGTGAAGGGGGTTGCCTTTTTTTTTTAGTGGGTCGGATTATTTGGGAAAATGATCTGCAAAGTTATAGCGTGAGGAGTGGCGAGGTGAAGAGCGGAGTGAGTGCGGGATGAAAGAGCGGGTGGGGAGAGGGGGTGGGGAGAGGGGTGTAGAGTGGGATGAGAAGGCAGGGTGAAGAGTGGTGGTTGAGAGCTGGTGAAAGTGGTGTGAAGTGCGGGTGAGGAGCGAGGCGAGGAGCGAGTGAGAGCGGAGTAAGGTGCGGAATGAAGAGGCGGTGTGAGGGGAGAGGGGTGGGAGAGAGGGTGAGAGTGGGATGAGAACAGGGGTGAAGAGTAGGTGTGAAGAGCTGGGTGAAGTAATGGAGTGCGGGTGAGAGCGCACGGCGAGGAAGAGGAGCGAGTGAGGAGCGGAAGTAAGGTGCGGGGTATGAAGGCGGGGTGGGGAATGGGGTGAAGTGTTGGGTGGGGAGCAGGGATGGGAGTGGGGCGTGGGGCGGGGTGGGGCAGGACGAGCACCGAACTCACCGGATCTGCGTCTGCGTCGAGCGGCGGCGGAAGGTGTTCCGGCGCTCGAGAACGGGCAGTTCTGGGCAGAGGGGCAGGCTGCCGCGCCTGCAGCCACATGCTCTTGGCGGCGCACTCTCGTGTTCATGCGTTCTCTCACTTCGATCCCCTCTTACAATGGAATTTCTCATAGGATGCGAATATTTATTCAAACACCTATTTCTGTTTATTTATGTAGACATACTGGATTTAGTTGGAAAAGTGTTGATTGCAATTTTAGAAATAATTCCAGTAGATGTCTCCTTTCTCAACAATTTTAAAAAGAATAAAGAGTTGCTTTTGCTTGCCTAGCAAGTATGGTCGGATTCACAGTTTGTGAGCCACTATTGAAATTGAAGACTGGTATGAAATCTGGATCCTCATTCAAATGACAATAAAAATGACAACTTGTGTTACGTTAATAAATCAACTGTGAGAGAATTCGCTAACATAGTTTGCAATTGCCAAATTTCAACACAAATTGAAACATTCGACTGCTTTTCCACTATTAATGTGATTGCGATTGAAGATAGTCACAATAATATCATTGAAAATTAGTAACGTTGAAAAATGTATTGTGATCAGAGAGTTCACACACTCTAGATTTTATAAACTGGAATAATTCTCATAGTTTGTATTCGACTCAATTTATTTTACACAAAGACCTTCGATCGTAACTTTCATATTTAAACACTAGATGTATTGGAAACAAAGATTATGCCTAATGGAATTACATTTATGAAATGGGGTACAAGGGTTTTCAGCTCGAAAGTTTTAGGAAGAAAAGAAAACCATTTTCAGTACAACGGCAATGAAAGGACGCTATCACGGGAATTACATTTCTTTCATTTCTCGATAATCGAGTCCAAATCCTTATAAAAAAGGTAAAGGAAATCTTATAACATATAGAGCAGCGGCGTAATGGCATCATATTTGAAGACAAGTAATAACTCGATATTACGTTTTCTATAAACAATTATGTTAGAAAGAATTAAGAATATCTGCCAATATTCTTCAAAAATAAGAATAAATAAGTATAAACAAAAATCATTTAAACTTTATCGTGCTGTCTTATCTCACGCATTCATCTCGCAAATTTAACATCATTATTATCAATCATCCTTATCTGACTAAAAAATGGGAGAGTTGAACACTGGCAGGTCACACGCGATAACAATATTAAAATAACGTCCATCAGACAATTGAGATGTGAATGAAGAAATGGAACGAGTAACGTGAAAAATAAATACTTGTTTTTATCCACTTGTAATGTTTCTAAATGCTTATTCAATTCAATAATTGCGGGTGACCAAAATAATATATTACAAGCCACCTTGTTTTCAAAATGTCCACGTCGACCAGCATTTTCCGCACACAAGTATAAAACGATTCAATATTAAAAATGGTTGTCAATAAATGGTACAATGAAAGTAATTGTCAAGTGCTTAATGCATTCCTCTTGAATACGACAGAGCTCATTCTTTGAATATTGTTTTCTCTCTCATTCTGTGTTTGGATTCCACTTGTAAAGGAGAAAGTTGAGTAAGTACTTCATCAATCAAGACACTTCCTTTTTGATTTGAGTGGCCGACTAGAGTTTTTGACAGAAACAAGAGCGCTCATAATTTTTAAACTACTAATTCGAAGTTGTACAGAAAGTTTTACGAATGTTCCTTCAATGAAGTGAAATATCCTAAACATTTTGCAAAGCAGTAGATTCCTCCAAATTCACCATGCAGGGATTCTCTACGCAATTACACTTTGTGATTTCCAATTAATACACCAGCTAATTAATATTCAAATTGTTTTTCTAATCAACTGGTAAATTAACACACTAACTCTACTTGACCCTTCGGTATTATAGGGATTTTGGTAAGTGATTTCATATGCTATGATTGATTAGTAACACACCTCGAGGTTTACATTTTGGTTCAATTTAGTGATATTGCGCAGCCGTTGAAATAATTTTATCTGCATTTGAGAACGCTACATCGCCTTTTTCATCAGTGTCACAACTTCTCATCACAATAATCACTTTTCAACACTACCAAATGCGTTTCAGCATTGTAGATACAATTCTCAGACGCGTTAAAATGGCAAAAAATTACATTGGTTTCACATTTGTTTAGTCAAAAAAAAAAATGTAATCACAAAATATCATTTCTATTTGATTTGTTCTTTGAGTCCATTATACCACATGAGACCAACATGAACACGAGAGTACAAAAACAAAATATAAAAAGCTTATCGATACAAAATTAAAGGCGAAACTCATTTCCTTGTTAAAGGAAAATAATGGGTATCTACAACACACTGCAAATAAAAAATATAAGCGAGAGCAAAAATAAACAAAATAAGCAAAAATAATAAATAAAACTACCAATTGCAATATTACAATAATGTGGAAGATTGTATTCTTAAATTTACAAAACCACTATCCTGATACAATAAAAAACACGAAGTCACGAAACCAAGGTATTCTTTTGAGAAAAGAGTGGAGACATTTTAGGTGCATGTATTTTTTCATCAAAAAGTTAGGGTTAACATATCTTGTAATTTCTAAAAATAAAACAGTTCATAATTATCATGTGAATAATAATTATGTACTACGTTATTTATTAGATTCTGGGAAGCTAGAAGTAAAATATAATGTTATTGAATATATTTAAAAAATAGAGTATATACTACTCTTTCTATGTTTATTGTTGTGATTAAAAGCATTTTGCTACGAGGAATATGAATGAATGAAATAAGTATAGAATTCGAAAAAGCTTCTAATAAATGATTACCTATATTTTTGCTAGCTGTGATTTTGTGGTATCAATTGAGTAATACTTACCTCTTGTGCTAAATTATATCGAAAAATGAGAAAGCTTGAGTCTGTATTTTCTATAGCACATGGCACTGATTGTTACAATCCCCTGTGATGAGTGTAATTGTTTAACATGATTCACAATGATTAATATTAATCATGCGCACCAGGTATTTAAGAGTTTAAGTTATTGGACACGACATCAATACAAATTTTAATTGAATTCAGAAGGGGAGGCAGAATAGCTCTTGGATTTAAAATATGGCCCCCTGGTTTACAGTAAAAATGGAAAAGATCAATTCAATGTACAGATTTACGTTTTTTTGTGTAAAATATTTTTTAAGATCTATAAATTACATATGACATATTATTCGCTACATGAAGCTCACATTAATCTAGCTTTACATTAGAATGTCTTTCTCGCATTGCATTATATATTATCGTTTTGTATAACAAATTTCAAATACATTTTAATAAAAATCTAATTTTATCTTAGAACAATAATGAGTGATATCAAATGAGTGTTGACACAGACAATTGAACATCTCGTGGGCGTCAACTTGTGAAGAAAAAGTTACGTACCTCTTATCCTGCACGTCGTTGGGTTCCGAGTAGCCGTTCATGAGTTGGTTGGGAGTCCACTTGATGGTGAGGGAGCGCGCTGTCTGGTGCAGTGATAGGTAACCAGGCATCGGCTCCGTCATGTCTTTCTGCAAAGACAATCATTCTGCTACCCAAGAGCTCCTTTGAATGGTTGGGATGTGTCTCCAACTATATTGTCAGTTCCCGCCAGCGAACGATTATTTTGATACGATCTAAAACAGTTGATCATCGCCGAAGACCTTATCTCTCCGCGAAATGTAGGCCAGCCAGATGAATCGAAGCACCAGCGGTTGCCACGGAAGTGCCAATGAAGTGAGCGAAGTTCCGAGATTAAAGATAGTTTTCACGAAAGATTTAATTTGTTAAGTTAGACAATAAAAACAATATAGTACGTATTGTATGGATTTGGCATTTTCGGTCGATTGTCCGTCCTTGCCGAGTATCTAACAGTGTACTCCATACCTGGCCAAGATTAATCCCCACGCTTGGAGGGTAAGAGAGACTTATGACGAACATGACGTATTCTCTTTACCGTACCTAGCAAACTACGTCTGCCTGACCTTTCGTCGCACAGCTATAGAAACTGATACGATGTTGAAGGAAAGCTACAATTCTATTTTTGCCTCGACTTGGAATAGAACCAGAAACCAGACCAAGGGAAGCTGGTAAGCTCCCGCAGGAGCCATTCGAAAGTGAATTGATACAAATCTTGTCAAAAAACACGTAATATTAAAACAAATTTTCTGATAGAGAAATTAAAAGTCAACCCCTACACGTCGAAGATAAGCGGACAACAATCACCGAAATAGCTCGTGCTTTACACTGTTATCACTCCATCAATTAAACTCGCCACACACCAACGTTTAGATGGGGTCTTTGAACTGACATGAAAATGAGCGACGCGAGCAGACGGCCTCTAATATTATAATACAAACTGATTGATGTTTCCGGGCACTTCAACTACTTTGGTAATTAGTTCGTTAGTGTAGTCGATGTTTTACACTTGGAGGTCGAGGTTCCTCCCTCGCTGGATGGTGAGATCCGGCGCCGACTAACAACGCAGCTGCGGGGGATTTCTCCCATTTGGGCACCGCCCCAGCCGGACCAAGCTCTTTGCTCTCGAATGGTCTCCTGGCATGTGTAGTAGTGTAGCGCATGTGAGTGTAAGTGTGTGTACGTAAGGAGAAAATAGGACAAGGAGGAGGAAAGAAGTCACGCGCGGTTTATCGGGGTACTGCTCCGGCATTGGCCTGGTATTGATATGAGAAACCACGGAAAATTACCGCAGTCAGAGCAGCCGGTCGCTATACACAGCGAGGTTGGCTCCGTTCCATAGATGCACCGCGAAAAAAGACTGATGACATGGATTGTCTCGACGTCCCGGAACGCCCTCTCTCCGGGCTCTATGAACGCGAAAAGCTTCTGACGTTCGTTCACTGTAGTTGCATGTGGCGCAGTCGTGCTCCAAGATCATTAACTACGATCGATACTGAACACGTGGTGACATCACGTTGAACGATGGAGGAGAAGTTTCTCGGCGCCAATGGGCAAGACGGCGTAACAACCACCAATCAAAAGTTCAGCGCCTGGGCAAGCGCGATTTTTTCTTCGAAGTTCTGCTCTAGCTACTCAGATGTCGAAAATCTTGCCACCGTTGTGAGGTCGGAAACTTGTAACCTCCTGAAACACGAAGCTGCGGGTGGATGCAATTCCCTTCATCTCGCATGGAAGGAAATATTGACAGAAGTTGAGCAAATAAAGGGTGAGGTTGAAGGCCATGAAGCAAGGCGACAGCCAAAGATTATAATCAACCGGGTACATTCTGTGTGTTAATGACCGGGTGTCAATACTTTTCCTATTACCACGTTTTTAAATAAAAAACCACTAAAATGAGAAATACTTTCGCTTGGAGTAAGAGTACGCATTCACAATGATTTGCTGCCACTTATTTTTTGATTTCAATGGCCAGCAGACGTAAACACGTTAACTGACACCAAGCGTTAAGAGCGATATATTGGTTGTGGTGTCGATGTGTAAACGTATAGTATTTTGAAAAGAAAAATCCAGACACAAACTCAACAAGGTCAGAAAAAAGTTGAGCTCGACGGTATTTGGCAGCAAGTAGTGAACTTCACGCGAGGGCGTCGTGGCATGACGTGCAGCGTAAGAGAAGACGAGCCGAGGGAGGGGTAGCCCGTAAATTGCTGCAGCGACGGAAGGCTTTTGTTACCGACCCGCGTCGCGTTTCTTTTCGCAACTCGAGAGCTCTCGAGTTTTGCGACTCAGAACGGGCGGCGCCTTCAAGCATGCGAACCCTGAAGCGCGCGCAAAGGGGTTGGCTGGTACTGCGACCTATATTGGATGTTACAGAAACTTTACTTCGGCCTTTTTAAGGTTAGGTATTCTATCTTTACTTATTCATGGAACTTACTCGAGGTATTTATTTGATTTGGCACAATAATCTGTTAAAAAGCTCCACCATCCACTACCGCTTCTCCATCACCCCCGCCCTACCTGTCCTCCTGTTCCGCTAGCTCTGCCCGTTCGTCCACCCCCGCACATTCTAAATGCCTGCCCGCTACCCCTCCCCCGCACGCAGATCCTACATTACAAGCTTTGCTGTTTGCTTAATCAAATGTTGGAAAATGTTACCTTACTCTTTTCCGCCTCTATGAGTGCTTGTTAAGATTTCTTTTCATTATTGTAAGTAATGCGTGAAGTAAGTTTGGTTGAAATTGTTCTAGGCGTTACAGTTGTGCTGGACAATACACTCTCATAGAAACACGCATGTTTATATTTTGTCTCATTTACGCCCAGCGGCACCTCACGCCACCCACTCTATTCACTCGTCTCGCCCGCTCCTAACGCTCCTACCAACCCCTCCACTCCGTCCTCTCCGTTCCCTCCTCCCTTTTTGACCGCAGTATCTACCCTCCTTGACCACCCATCTGGATAGTTTTTTTTTGTCTAGTTTCCCTGATACCTTGGGCAAATGCTGAGATGGTCCCTAGTTTTGCTTCTGAACAGTAATGTAACTTCTTTCTCTCCACCCAAGACATCATATTGACTTGTCATACACGATTATAATTGTATACGTGACTCAATATCTTCTTCTTCTTCTTCTTCTTCTTCTTCTTCTTCTTCTTCTTCTTCTTCTTCTTCTTCTTCTTCTTCTTCGTATTATTATTATTATTATTATTATTATTATTATTATTATTATTATTATTATTATTATTATTATTATTATTATTGCTGGTCTCGCCTGCTCTGCTCGCGCAGCATGACCCATACCCATTATGTGTTTTGTGGGTTGCCTATCTATGTTGTGTCCTCTTCCCATTCCAACCGTTGGGGATGTCTTGCCTCCAAATTATTATTTCCCCATTGTAAGTAATATAAGAACCATGTTTGTTTAAATTGATTCGGGCGTTACACATTTAGCTGAATCACACTGCATTTATATGATAAGATTACAAAAATAACCTTTCTTTCTGCTCTTTACAACAGTCGTTCCTTCCACTCTGTCCGTCTCTTGATCTTCTCTAACAATCTTTAACCCCCATCCTGATGTAAGAAGAAGGGTCTTGCGTTGCGCAATTCCTGCAGTGCAGTTAAGAGGCACTCCGAGCGTCTATTACATAACGTGGGCGTTGGGAGCGGAATTTTAAAATGTCAGAGGGGATATTCGATTACACCCTAATTATAAAATTAGAGTACATAATTTGCGACATTTTCAATGCATGAATAATCGTTGCTTTTAAACGAATGTTACTACATCATTACGCTTGTTACTCTCTCATCATTGCTGTTCACAGAAACTGTTCCATTCGAACGAATGCGCCATTTCAAACGTGAGAGTAATTATTTATCTACGTACTTGTAGTCCTATATTGCCCAGACAGAAACGCTTTCTCCGTAATGAGTATCCTTTAACCCTTATATCATGATCACCAATTCAATATTCCACGCACCACCACGCCATCACCACGCACCCACCGGGAGAGCTCAGGGCATTAACTGATGTCACTGCAGTGCCTTTGACCGGCGGGTCCTAGGTTCGAGTCTAGGCAGCCAGATAGAATTAAGTTGCCTGAAGGAGAATTCTAGGGGCCGGCTGCTACGTTTTGGAGCCTAATCTCTTAATACACGATTATATGGTCTCCTTGGGACAAATTCGATCAAAGCTCGTGCCTTTTTGAATTAATCGCGTCCGAGATAAAATAAAAATTTGCCCACAACATGCGAAGTTCGAAGAAAAAACTCCACGAGCTAATACATTTATAACCGCCGTGAGCTAATACATAATTAACCGATTAGTGCTTCATAATTCCGCTCATAACGCAATGATGCAAAATTCCGCGTTAACGCCGCCGATTTTTTAAAAAACGGCAGAGCTTGAAACAAGGCTTTGTTGTAAAGAGAAGAAAGCTGGTCGTTGAAAGTGACAGCGCAGAATTCGTTTCGCCTGATATCAAGGGTTGGTCATACGTCATCGCGTCTACATTTGATCGCATTGATGAAACTCTGAGCCCATGATAGTGTATACTCCTACCATGATCTCTTGCATTCGCGGCAATAGCTGGTGGCAAATTTGTCTCCACGTGGAAATTGTTAAAAAAAAGCACAGGCAGGTGTCAATTAAGCTTGTTCATTATGTACTTAGTGTTTATAACAATATTCTAACGATTGGTCGTGCTGGTCACGTTCTTATTGTATTTCATTATTTGGAATCGTTTATAGCTATACATACCATTACATTAACACGCGGCCGCATTCAAATCATTCTTAGTACTCTGCCACAACTTCTAGAAATCTATTTTGAAGCATTAACAAGGTCTGTTGCTCTTCGAAATTGGAATGTTATGTTAAAAGCGTGCTCAGTTGTTGTGATGTGTCAGAGGAGAGGATGTTAAAGGTCGCAATAGAAAATGGAATAGATGCTTATTAAGAGGTACTGATGTTCACAATATGATGAATGTGTTAATTGTATTTGGAGAAATTGTTTGTTTTAACTACCTATTACTTGAATAATACTTAATATACTACTTTCTGCATATCTATAATAAATATGACAATTATTTCGTCAAATGCCAATTTTATTTTTCATATAGATTTGGTGAAGTGTATACATAATTTTTCGTGAAATTTATTCAAAATGTATTCATTTCCAGCTCTGAAAACATATTAACCAATAAATTACAAAGATAAACACGAGAATTTCAAATTTTCACTAACATACGTTTGGACAGTAAATACCAAATTGGGCGCCGTTGTTTATTTACGGAGGCTTTTATTGGCTTATTGACATTAGTGTAGGCGAAGTGGACGGAGCGGGTGGGGGTGGCGACGGGACAGCACCGGCCGCAATGACGTCACACAGAAAAGGAGGGCAGCGTCAGGAATGGACGCGTGCGTGCGTGCAGTCGTGGCGTTTAGCGGGAAGGGTTTTAACTGGGCGGGGGGAAATGAGGAACTAACTGCCAGGCGGAATCGAACGGACTGAGAGAGGGAATGGAGTGGATATTGTGAGGTGGTGGGGGAGGAAACTGAGGAGACGACGGAACGTGGAGGGGAGGTTTGGCGGGGAGCGTGTTGTCACCAGGATGAACTGACTTCGATACACCAGCGAGAGTAAAATTGGAATGCAGAAGATTTTATAAGAGGATTGAAGGATAAGGAATGATTCAAATCGTGAGGGATTCTAGGCTGCACAGATGGGAAAGTGAAAAGTTATTCCTCTTTGCTTGCATCATGGGCGCTGTCTGTGAAACGTGAGTGACTCGTGTTAGTGAGGCGTGTCGAATGCGATCTTCGTCATGAAGTCGTACAAATACCGGATTCATTAGACTCTCGTTTCCGACCTTCTCGAGAAAAAGAAAAACGCCACCAACGCTGCTGGTTGCCACTACCGCCCTCGCACGGCAGCCACGAGAAATTTCCCTCGTTATTTCCCAATATCTTCTTTTCGGAAGTGACGGCTGCGAAACCTTAGAACATTTAATAACGTTGTGTAACAGATTGGAAGGGAATTTAAGGTGACGTAGTTCTTACTTATTTTGGCAACGATAAATGTTTTTAAATACACTCTTACAGGAAGTTCGACACTTGCTTTCAGAAATAGATATATGTCTCTGCGGGCAGTTATATTTGCGTATACGAGAGAAAGAATATTTATAAGAGTTTTTGAATAATATACAACATTACATAACGTACCTTCGAAACTGAAAAAGAATACGTATTGAAAAATAAGAAGTACTCAAGTCTCCGAAGGATTAACTGAAAAAGGTGTTAAATATTCTCTTATCTAGTGAATTTTAATTCACTCTTTCTTAGAAACTTTCTCTTCGCAAATGTCACTAACATTTTATTCCTTTTATTTACATTAAGTCACAATTTATTATGTTTATTTTTCTTACGCCACAAAGCCTATCTGATTATGTCATTAAGCCAGTCATGTAGAAAATGATCGCAATTTAAGGTTAGTACGTTAGTATCTTCACGTAAATGGTCTGTAAATCATTTTGCAGGCAACATACAAGTTTAATTTTGGAAAAAACCCCTCTCCCAATTTTGACCGGGAACATCTGCTTCCCATTTTCTTTCTCACTAATTATCATGTATGTTATGCGTGAATGTCTGGTAAGGGGCTATATTTTTGCAGGGGATAATGGGTTTATGCTTTAAATCTTTAAATGAAAGCTATTTCTACTACATGAAGGAACATAGTAAGTTGCACGCAGGAATAACGAATGCTATCAAGAAGAGGATTTGATTCATATTTTCAAACTTAATTTTTTTCTTCTACTTTTAATTAAAAATAAAATGAATTTCAATCATATTGTGTTACTTTTTTCACAGGATATATTGAAATTTGAAATTAAATCAGAAAGCTAGTTATTTTAGATTTACTTAACGTTATCAATAATTCAGAAACATCGAGCAAGAAGTGACTGAGCAAATGACTGTCAACTGGCAGGCGATACAGATATTCCGGCCCTCAGATAGAGAAACGGTTCCAACGTGGACGGGCCGACCGACCGGCCGGACCGAAAAGATGGACTGGTGTGTGACTGACCTACCGACCGACAAGCGGATCGAAGCGACGAAGTCGGAGGGCAGGCCGACGTATGCATGCTCTCGGCTGTCCGAACGACGGCGAGTCTATGCCTTGCGTCGCATCGTGACGTGACCTTCGCTTCGGTCATCGTACCGTGAGCTGAAGTGTCTGACAGTTTCATCGGCAGATGAGCCTCCGGGCAATAAATGATGTCACTACTGAGCCTCTGACCGGGTGATTCTAGGGTTCAAATTCCGACGGTGGAAGGGTTTGCAACTTTAGAAAGCTGGGACGAATTTAGACGCTGTCTGGGGGAGAATTCTACGCAACCGGCTGCTCTGATCGGAAGTTTCCCGTGATTTCTACGATCAACAGGCGATACCGGCGCAGTACCCTGACAAACGGACCACGAACCGTGTCGCGATCTTTCTTTCCTTTTCCTTGTCCTATTCTCACCCATTACACCCACACACCCACCCACACACACCCACACAATGGCATTACAACTACCACTCTCGTCCGAAGACCAGTGACGAGATTAGAGATTGTCCCGGTTGGGGCGGTGTCCACGCTGGTGGGACATACCTAGTCGCAAAAATCCCCGCAAGATGACGTGTATGTCGGCGCCAGATCTCACCAAAAGGGGGAAGTTCACCGCCACTTCCTGAGGAGTTGACGCGCCCGGAATCACTAATCAATCAATCAATCAAACCTTCTAGTTTCGAGGAAAACAGCTAATAAACTTGTATATAGGCGCAAGATCTTACGTGTCAGCGAGCGAGGGGCATCGCCACCTCAAGGGATACAACATGCCCTGCACTTGTAGAACTATTTACTATAGTAATTGACGCGCTCGCTAACACTAAATCCATCAGCTCAATCAATCAATCCATCCACCACGAACTCCGCGATTGCCGCCCAAGTGCGGTTGCTGCGCGCATGCGTGCACGGGCGGGGGTGGCACTTACCGGGAGGACGAGCACGTTGTTCTTGCCGTAGAGCAGCGTGGCGCGGCTGTTCTGGTGCAGCGACTCGACGTAGTCGCGCGCGGCCGGCGGCACGCGCTCCTCGCCTAGCGAGCGCCGGAAGTTGAGCGCCGGTGGGCGGCGGCGCTGCGGCGGCGTCCCGTGGCCCTGCACACAGACACTGCTTAGCCCTGGAATGCGCGTGCACATGCGCCGAGGGGATAGGAGGAGGGAGGAAAGTCGACGAGTGGATAGAACAATGACACTCAGATGGTGCCGTAGAAATAAAAGCAAATTAAACATTTAATTTAAAACAAGTTCACGACAAAAAAAAGTTCAAAGATGCGCTGGAAGATGCATGCAAATGTGCCACGGAAATTGGAAGAGGGAAGAAAATGGTTTAGTGGATCGAAGAATAAGAACACTCATATGGTGTCATATAAATAAAAAAAATTAAAAAGGTTGATGACACAAAAAAGTGTTGACGTTTCGTCCACATATAATCGACGTCTTCCAGACACTCGGAGCTGCAGAGGAGGCGCTTTTCAATGATGCTCCGGAAGATGAATGCAAGAGTGCCACGGAAATTGGAGGGCGGAAGAAAACGACTGAAGATTAAGCGAATTGAAGAATAAGAACACAGATCATGTCATAAAAATAAAAATAAAATAATAAAAAGGTTGTTGAGAAAAAAGTTGATGACGATTCGACCACATAAAGTCTACCTCTTTTTGACACTCCAAGCTACAGGAGATGCGCTTTCTCGAAGATGCGCTGGAAGATGCATGCAGGTGTTGCACGAAAATTGGAAGGAAATGACAATGGCCGAGTGCACTCGAAGTATGGATAATAATATGCGGCCCAGAACATCTTGGGGGGGGGCGTGCTCTTATTAAAATTGCAGAAGCATGCAGAAAATTGCGACCAGCCAATGTGTTCAATGCCTCCAACCAATAACAATAAACTTTATTCTCCACAAATGAAACCACGTCATCTATAATTTCGAGAACAATAAATTTTAGACAAAAAATTAAATAATCATTTTAATTATAAAAATAATTTGGTTGATGGCGTCACTCGTCAAAGTAAATTCAACACCTCCGAGATATTCAGAATTACAAGGGAGACGCTTTGGTTCACGAAAGATGCATGCGTATGTGTCACGGAAATTGGAGGAAGGAGGCCATGTGGATTCCAAGTGTAGTGCACTCAGATGAAATCATAAGTTACTAGAGATCGCCCAGTAGTCGAAATTCGACCGCAATTCATTAAATATTTAAATTTGTTTTTAAAGTTCTTTTGTATAATTATTGCAAATGTATAATTATAGAGTATAATTATTGCAAATTATTTTTAAAAACGTGTGTTCTATTCTATAGCATTTACAATAATCATAAGCCTTTAGTTTGTGTTGTTTGCAATACCTATGAAATTTGACAACCTATAAAATCGTACCCACGAGTGATTATTTGGCTTTCTCCCTCTCCCGCATGGCACGAAAGCGGATCTCGATCTCAACCGCCAACAGAGTAAAGTCCTTCGGGATGCAAATATATGTCTCCAGAACCCTTTATTTATGTGAGTTATTAAGTTAAGTGAAAAAATGTGTAAAAACGAGCATCGTTCACACGCGAAAATTATTATTACAATTATCATTTCGAATATTAATAAAATGGTTAAAATGTACACAAATGGAAATATGGAGTGAAGTATTTTTCTCTTAAATGCTAAGATTGGTATAAAATGCTTAAAATTGTCTCATTTTTTAGATTAAGGCGTACAAAACAAAACTTTTGTTCCCCAGGGGACATGAAAATCCAATTTTAAGACTCTGAAGCGCAGGGTTTTCAAGTTATGTACGGTGTACGATAGTATTATGTTGCAGCGTGTTGCGAGTTCCATTTGAACGCCGTATTATTTTATTTTGATAATTTGTAACACATTTTACTCATAAATGTTTGCATAATGCACCCCTCTATATAGTTTTTAACTATGTCCTTCTTTGTGCGCGCAATATGCTTACACAAATTTTCTCTTAACGTACTAATATATAGATTAATGATGCCAGTGATAAAATGGCAATTTATTTTGCGAGTAGAAAACATTACCAGTAAAATAAAATTAGTTTTACCATGTATGTCATGCATTATTTTTAGACAGACTGGCGGACTTTCTTTTATTTTAACTGAAGTACACAAATCACTTAATGATACATTGTGGTCAGTAATAGTTCATGCGGGAAGATACAAATATTTTGCTTTTCTTTTCTACGTTCACAGATTTATCTTAACACTTGACAACATTTAGCAAGCTGTGCGTGTACTAAAACAACCGCTTTTACTTGTAGCTGTCTAAACATTTCACATAGTAACTGACATTTTGTCAAAATAAATTTGACCTTTTTAGAGTGCGTTTTAGATGATTAATTTAGTATAGAAACAGGTTGTTTTGCACATTGCTTTTGGGGAAATTTATACATGAGAAAACACATGGTAGTACTTTAAATAAAGATATCCATGCCAACGGTCGATTAGGAATTTTAAATACAAACTTATCTTAAAAAGTATTGAAATATGCTAAAATATATGTCGTTTTGTATGTAAAATTATTTAACAAAAATTATTTTTCTATAGTATGTAAAATTATGTTAACAAAAATGTATTTTTCGGTGGCATTCACATCTTTTTGCACATAGAAAAAAGTGGGAAGTACAAATTAAAAACAGATGATCTACTTCTGCACTTTGTGCAGTATGTGCACCCACGCATCAATTATAGCGACTCACGCACCGACGTGCGAAATTAAAGTTTCTTGAACACACATTCTTAAGTAAGCGTATTTACTCGAGAAAGGAAAAATGACCAGTTCCGTTCCAACACAAGTTTCAGTACAGACTGATAGAGTCTGAAGAGAAGCCTACCATTTCCATTATCTTGTGCTTGACGTCACAAGTGTCACCCGCTGTACCGTATGTATACATTATCGGGCGGCAACAAAATTTCAACATGTTTGTTAGAACTATGCATTCTATTGTAAGGCAGTTTTTCAAAAGCCTCTGACTCTTTGAATTTGCTGTATAAACTCTTTTTCGCAATTTAAAAATTACAACTATTTTCAATTTTCAATCTTTATGAATAAGAGAAGCTTTACTTGGCGGGCCCTAAAGCAATTTTCAATAATTTGAAACAATGAAAAACAAAAGTTTGACTTTTACAGCCTAGAGAAATTTCTCGATTTAGACCGTAAACTAGCTTTAGTTTACTAACACTAAATCTGCCCTAAGCCTGCTCGATTTAGGTTGCCTTTTATATCAAAACACACACCTTTTATATCAAATCACACACACTAAATGAAACCAATTATTACTGGTAACTAATGTGACCAATAACTGGAACCTCTCGTGACTGCATATTCAGTGGAATGTATGTATGAACATCCCTCTTTTGCTTCAGTTTGTCATCAGAGTTCAGGAGGGAACTTGAAGCTTGTTTGGGTTGGACTGGTGCCCCGATGGTGATAAAGATACCTGGCTGGGAAAACTGTTCAAGACAACGTGTAGGTGGGCACGGGATATCACCCTCCAATGGAGGAAGAACATCCTGCATAGCAAAATAATAACAAGCACTACCCTTACGGCAATAATGACCTAAGTTGATGCGTCCGGAAACAAAATAACAAATCAATCAACTGTATGTCATTCCCATGCATTTCTGCTGCAGAGGACTGCTATTTTAACGTCCTTACTTCGATCTCGCATCTGAACTCCCGTTTCCGAACGCTGTCACTCACCGGGGAACGTGGGTACTTAGAATTCCACTATTGTCCACACACACGCCATACGATGGTTTCATTCGAAATTACACTGTCACAATTACCATTAAAATTCGCAATTACACTCGCGGAGTTTTTGTGTCGCCTCCTTTCAGTGGGAAATAAGTAGTTGCCATGACTTTGGAAGCAACCCTCGTTTTTATTTATTAATTTTATTTTATTTACGTCAAATCAGTGATAAACTGTGTGTGGCGTGCTATAGGGAAAAGCTAAATTGATGTTCCTTTTTTTCAAACGTTTTATTTAATAAATGTTTCCATTTCAAAAGCTCGAGCGCAACTACTAATGAGGAAGTTGCTCCTACCTGTGAGATGCGGTGTCTTTGCACCAGCTCGTCGGCCGGGGGGTCCGTCCAGAAGTGGTCTTGCGTCTTCGTTTTGGAGAAGTCGAGCGCGCATGGACCCACTGCAACACGGACCACAATACTCTTTCACACCACCCTCGCAAAGGGCACTCGCAAAGGGTGTGAATGATTGTGTATACATGAATTTGTATGAAATAATAATAATAATAATAATAATAATAATAATAATAATAATAAATGTACTTAACGGACGAAAATAAAATATCCATTTCATATTTGTTCAGGGCCGATGGCATACACCACAGTTTTCAAGAAGGTTACTTGTTGAATATATTAAATTAAAACGCTTGCAAACTCAAAATAAAAGAGAATATTTATTCAGAATAATATAAACATTTCATTCGTTCATATAGAAATACCATTATATTTATTCATAAACTCATACAAACATGGGGTATCTTAATATGGTACTAGGGGAATTTTCATCTGATCCGGGTTATTAAATGCGTCAGGAGTCACTTGATTATTTGACGAAAGTAGCGGTTATGATAAAAATAAGTTGATAAGTCAAACAATTTAACGATAGAGTAATAGAGTGTTATGACTCTTGTAGAAACAAAGAATGTTTATAGAAAACTAATTTTAAAGTAATATTCTCATATTTGTTCTTCCGTGTTCAAATTTAACACAATCGAATACTAGGTCTAACTCCTAAAATTCCCTCCTTCTCTGCCTGTCCGTCTCTATCAGTGGCAACGATGGTCAAGTCTCTTTGCCATGCAGATCTCTTTGCTCAGTTTGCAGCAGCATTATATATCATTTATTGAATTCCTGACAATGTCCAACTAAACAGAAACAAATATTAATCAAAGAATATAATTTAAACTTTAAATATGTAGAAACAGTAAATAGATGAAATTGAATTCCAAAAAGGATTGGAAAGAAAGCTCAACACGAAGGGAAAACTGAAAATCAAGGGTATAGAGCCAAATGACTTCTTCGTCAAGTTCTTACAGAAAAGGCGACGTGAAGAGAATGCCCAAGTTGACAATACTTTCTCTTTACTATGGATTGCAAACTTCATATCTTCTAATTCCCTTCCACATCTACAGTATATGTAAAAATTATAGGACTCTAAAAACTGTTTTGCCTGGATCTTAAGTTTGCGTGTTTTCATTTCGACTTGTCAGTCGTCAGTTGTTGTTGGAAGTTTTGTGCGATACATAATATGAGCTTTCTCAGAATGTCATTGCTTAATTTGAGTGATAAAACCTGTTTCTTGTCCCACTAGGATATAAATAGATTTGAAATGCTTTGGTGTTGCTGGTTTTCCCTTCCCTGCACATTTGTACCTTGATTGTTGCGTGTGTGTATTTTACAAAAAATACCAATTTTTTTTCTATTAGACAAACCGAAGTGTATGTCAGATACTTCTGTCTGTTAAAAGACAGAGGTTATAAGTCGAAGTTCACAGTTGTATGACACAATAGTGTATGCAACAAAAAATACACAGATATCAGAATAAACAAAATAATGTAGATTTCTGCTGACCAAATAGAGGTTTCATCTTAATAAAAAATATACAAATATGTGTCTCAATACCTTATTAAATAGGGTCAATTACTCAACGCAACTATAATTATCTACCTATAATATTGTTAATAATTGATGAATAACGAAAGGGTTACGAGAAGAATGAAAGTACCAAACAACAACAGAAATATTAAGATTGAAATTGCGAATGGACAATGTTTGATTTTTTCAAACGAAACCAAAACATTAAGATATTTCATTAATACATTGCTTTATCTTCGTATTTTAAGGTATGAATGCTCGTAAAATATCTTCCAAATGTGGATTCAGAACTATAATTGCAATAAAAGTATACTATTACAATACTATTTAATTTTTAAATATTTCATTAAAGAAAATTTAATACAATGCCTATGAATTTCAAGTCACTCCCTCCAGGAACATTTTCATCACATTTGCAATTGTGTGCTCTGTCGGTGTTTGAACCTATGATCTTGTTGGTCTCCAAAGTAATTAAAAAGTTTGAACAAAATTAGCTATATATTTAAAACAGGAAAGGATTTCGTTTAGTATTTAAAGTAAGTTTGAGTATTCTATTCAACTAAATTTCGCAATTTTTGCTTTAAATGGACAGTAGTGAGGCATGTATGGTCTATTACCTGCACTTATTAACAGGTTTTATAATAAAGAAACGAAAACTTTAACATGAGATTAAAATTTAGTTAGTAGAGTAAACTCTAATCCGTCATCATTTGTTCATTATATCTATTTCATGATCAACTACAGTGGTCTTCGTTGTTTTATTTTGCGAGTTGCAAAGTTTAGTGGGTGTACATCATTTAATGTACAGCAATCCACATGTGACTCTTTAAAAAATCATCGTCGATAATTATGTGTAATTTATTATGTGTTCGAGTTAAGGCGAAAGTAGAATTTCCTGTCGTCGTCCATTACATGTAAAGATCTAGGTAAATATAAAAGTTTTCAACACTTTTAGATGCAACTGTGCGATTATAATGAACAGTGATTACATTACATTGTTCCAGAATTTGTAAACATCTTTCATTTAATTACTGAACAACATGAAACAATATTTGAAACCTGCGTTTGAAGATGTTCGATTTGCTATAAACAATGATAAAAGTTGTTTTCTGATGTAACTTTTCTTAATTTCTTTCTTTTGTTCGATGTTCGGCTAATGAAACTTGTGAAATCACCACGTGATTACATACATACTAACGTGGATTTGATCCCACATCCTGCACTCAAAGTGGCCGCGGCCACAATCACCATTTAGGTCGTTGCGTCGCCCAGGAGGAAGTTAATTTGCCTCCGGCCGCATGCGTAGGCTCTAAGCTCGTTGCCAGCAAAGGGCCTGGTCCGCGTCAGGGCAGAGGGGCGGACCGACGCTGCGTCCGGGGGAAAAAGTCGCCGGAATCTGATAAAGGAGTCCGTGTGGGCGCGCAGAGGGGTGGGAAAGAGGAGGGGAGGGGATGCGGGCCGCCGCTCTGCGTCAAGCGGACGGGTGGTGCGCTGGACGTTGTGAAGGGCGATGGGGCGAGAGGACGGGGAGACAGTGAGAGATGCGAGTGTGAGCGGGGATGGGGTTGCGAAAGGGGTGGAAACAATTCGCTTCTAGAACGGTGTGACGACGAAGAGGGAGGAAGGAGCAGGGCGGTGCGACGAGGGTGGAGTGAGGGGAACGGCGAGTTGTGCCTATGCAGGAAGAGGATGTGGCAGGAGTGGAATCGGGTCTCGGGAGCTGTATCTTGCAGAATGGAGGCGGTGTGGTGAAGGGAGAAGCCAGACCGAGGGGAAGGCGACGAGGAAAGCAGGGGGGGTGAAAGGTGGGAGTGGTGCGACAAAGGGGTGCAGCAGGAGCGGGGGCGGGAAAATGGGTGTGTCTCGCGAGAGAGGGAAGTTGGTGCGATGCGTGAAGGGAGACGACGCGACGGGGCGGCTGGCGCAAGACGTGACGGAAGCGGGGACGGTGTGAAAAGCTGTGCTCGCCACACGGGCAGTACGAGTGAGAAGGCGTGTCGGGAATTGGGAATGGTGGCGATGCGCGAAGGTGGATCTGAACGCGACAGGATCTGGGGGAAGGGGGAACGCGACAGGATCTGAAATAGTGATGCGTCATCGATAACAAAACATCGATGTTAGCAAACGTCGATGTTCAAACTTAAAACACTGATGTCAAAAATACTGCGACTAAAATCCATCAATTTTTAACATCGATATTTTAGACTGGATTTGTAACTTCAAACGTTAAAAACATGTACATTAAAATTTAATTTGACTGTGTTCCTGTTTATCAATTTCCCGGATAAGGGTACGAGAAGAAGGGGCAGACCGTACGTTCACAGCATATTTGTTTATCTTATCTCAATGTGCGAAATGAATATGAAGAAAGAAGACATACAAGGGCATGGAGAGCGATAGAATTTGGACGACGAAGGTACTGCAAATAGCGTTCCTTTGGTTCCGACACATGAATAACAGTGTTACTATCTGCTATTATTTCATTTTTTAACTTTTACAGTATTGTGATCTTTGGAATGTTAAAAAACAAAACATCGGAAAAGAAAAAAAAATCATTGATCACAAAATATCGATGTTAAAAACATTGGTGTTAATACATCGATGTTCAAAACATCGCAGGGGCTAGGCGCTGGTGGAGTAGGGTAGGAGAGGATCGAGGACGGCGGCAAGGGTGCTGAATCTGTCGGGACCGAGCATGGGCGTGGCTAGATCAGAGGCGTTGCGCAGCGGGAGTGCGAGTGAGGTGGGGCCGTGGGTGGTACGAGTGAGGCGAGTGGAATTGTGCTAGGGATGAGGGTTATCGGCGATGACGAAGCGGGAAAATGTGAGGGAAACCAGAAACGGCAGAAGCGGTAGAGCGTAGAGTCCCTACGGGGTCATTATCACACTCCCGGGGGTTGATGAAATTTTAAAAGTGGCCATTGATGAAAAAGAGGTCGATAGCCGTATGTGCGGTTGATAGCCGAGACTTTTCAGTATAACTTAGTTCAAGATTCCCTTGTTTACAAAAAAATATTGTCTAAATATCTAATAATAAATTTTTAATTCGCTCCTGGCCTGAAATTTCGCATTTTAAAAAACGTTTATGTTCTTTGCGTAATTGTTTTACTAAAATAAAGTATGTTCAAATATTAGTGTGTTATTGTGATGAATACTGTGTTGAAAACAAATTAAGGATGTCGATGAAGCAAGCCATCTTTTTAAAAGGGGTCGGTGCAAGAAAAGTGTTAGGAACCCTTACTAGAGAGGCAGGCAAACGGAAGGCGGGCGGAAGTTGGAGCAAGGGGGCGAACGCAATGAAAGTGGAGATGAGCGAGGGCGAGGGCGAGGGCGGAGGGAGAGAGTGAGGAGGCTGGGAGGAGGCGTGGCAAGATCAGAGGGGTAGATGTGCGCGGGTTCGGGCGGGAAGGGACTCCGAAAAGGCAAAAAATAATCAAATTTTCAATTTTCGTTTTTGGTTGCATTTGAATTTTTGAAATTTTTAATTTGGTATAATTTCATTCACCTTTCTAACTTTTAAGGTTTTGAAAATTATTTTTGAAATGGATGGGCTGTGGCCACCTTCATGGAATTCTGACAACTGTCAGCGGTTTGTTTAATTTAAATTTGAGTTTGCCTCATTTAATTTGAATTACGCGGTAAGAATTCAATACCTTTCAATTCCGACGTTGGCAACATTTGTACGATATTCATTTGTGACATAGAGTTCACATGGAGTTCATGCTTATTCATTGAGTGTTGGTTTACCTCGCCTCGCCTCGCTCGTTTTGTGCTCCCAGTGAGTACGTATTTCTCTTTTCAAGTGTAAGGTGGCGTTAATTAAAGTGAAGCGTGTTTTTCAATATTTTTAAGTGTTCTATGTGCTTTAGCAATATCATTAAAAGCATTCTACGTGTTTTAATACAATTGTTGGTTCCAGCTTCATTATCTCTACAGAGAAATTTTAAAAGAATTTTCAGAGTAAGAAAATTTCATAAAAATTACTAGTTTTGGAAAGAAACTAGATTCTTTTAGATACAATGTATCAAACAAATATAAATGATACAAGTGAAAATGATATCCATGAAATATTTGATATGAGAATGTGGTGTACTTCTAAGCGACGTTGTTTGTAAACAGTGTAGTAGTCTTGATCATTAGACTTGACGAGGAGAATTGGCCTTGCCAGTGAATACAAATTATCATGTAGGAAGTGTGAATTTAATTGAAATTTTTAAAAATTCTGATGTGTGTGGTGTATTCTGTGAATGTAAGAATAGTTTGTTCTTCGGGTTATCGGAAGGGGTGTGTCTGCAGGTATGCTTTTATTGCCTCCCCCTCCTTCAAAATTTTGTAAATATGTTGCAATGATTGGTGACAAAGTGGCTAATAAGCCCCAAAAGCCTTAAAATAAACTAGAGAACAGGCCAGGGCATGAAGAAGAAACATAAGGAGGAAAATTGAAGACAATTTTAAGAAGATTCTGATGACCCAAATTACGGTGCTGGAATGCACTAGAAACTTTGATTGCAGTTTTTCGTAAGTTAACTTTTTCAATAATATTTCTTTATTTTTCTCCAAATTTACTAGATAGAATTAAATGAAACTGTTACAGGACTTAAAATATAGTTTTCTCTATATTTTAACACGGGGTTTTGCAAATAATTTTGAGAAAGTTGAGTAGGTGTAGAATTAAAAATGCAAAAGCGCCCAAAATGTACTAAAACGTTCAACCAATATTACAACTTTTTTCTAAAAATATAAAAATATTTTTTTTAAAACACGTGTTGGAATATGAACATAGGTTTAAAGTTTGACCTCAATTTTTTAATGCAATTATCGTGAATAGTTTCTGAGAAAAAGAAAAGTGAAATCTGTCAAATTAACATGGGAGGGATAGAACCTTCCGGAACCCCTAAAGCAGGACGGGGAAGTGTGGTGGGGTGGGGGGGTAGGAAGTGAATGGAAGTGAGGTGGAATGGAAGTGAGGGAGTGTGATGCAGAAGCCGAGAGGAACCTGGAGCGTGGGCGTGGGCGGGGTCGAATCGAGAGCAGGAGCTGTGCAGAACGAGGGGCAGCGAGTAGTGCGGTGAGGCAGGGGGAAGGGGGGAGGCTGGGAGGGGGCGGGGCGGGACAGCTGTCACAGGGCGGATAAGCGGAATGAGCGCGGTGGAACGAGATTGCTGCGGGAGACAGACAGCAGCGGGGGCGGAGGTGGAGGCGGACGTGAAGCAGAGCAAGGCAGGGCAGGCCAGGGCAGGACAAGCACAGCGCGGCTTCGCGACCACAACACTCGTTGACCCTCCGACGCGCAAACTCACGGTTAACAGAGGAAGGAGCTACCTCAACCAATAGAGATCAAACTCGTTATCAGATCCATTTAATAAAAATATCGTTAACTTATCTTCATGTAAATAAATTGACTATAAACTGGCATGGTAAATGCGTGGGGAGAAACTGATGCACGCGCATGATAAAAAAACAAACGCGCCTGCTTTTAAATAGGGTAGACAGCAGGTGCGACATGGAAAGAGGAAGGTTGAACGCAGGAGAAGAAATGGGAGACGCAACTTGCTACTCCTGTTGCATTGCAAGGAAACATTTTAGCCCCAATTTGGCTACCAAATTTTTGCAGTTTTGAATCAAGATCCTCCTCAGTTTTCTATTCTTTGTGGATGCCGTGAGGCTGCTACCTGCCCAATAATAAGCGTGAGCTCGTACGTCCAACACTTACCCAGTAGCGAGCTGAGGATGGACCCGTAGTCGGGATCCGACACCAGAGCATCTTTTTCGTAGTACTTCCTGTAACACACAGGTGCCATTTTCACCTTTAACCTTAGACGAGTGGGTTGGCGTTTTTAGTAAATTAAATTATTATTTTATTAAAATACAAACCTTTTATCATAAGAGTTTGTCAATTGTCCCACATGTACATTATGTTTGTGAATAAAATCAGCAAAGTATAGTGTCCTGCATGCGCTATTTTACCTAAATATATTTAATAAAATATATTTTCTAATTCGTTTAAATAAATATATTTTGTAATTCGTTACTTTTGAAAACTTTTTATGCACGGGTATTGGTTATAGTCTCTATTAATGAAGGGTCTACTTATCTACTGTGCAATTTCTTTTATTCAGTCTATTAGACAGGAAACGGAATGAACTCTTTCCTTAGTGCAAAATGGAAGTAATTTAATTTTCCTCCACGACACGCCCCCTCCGCTCCAACTCGCTCTTTTACATCCCGTACCGCTCCGAACCGCCCTACCCCATTTCGCTCTGCCCCGCCTCCGCACCGCTTCATTTCGCCTTCCTCGCCGCGAAGCACCACCCTCTGTCCCCGTCCACCCTACTCGCCCCTCCTCGTTCCTGCTCCGCCTGGCTGCCATCCGCCCTGATCAGCATCTGCTTGCAACTTCTACATATCTAAATGTAGTGCGTGTTGCATTAAACCAAATTTAATTTTAAAAAATGGAGGCAACTATTTGTGCCGAAGAACCACAGCAACTTTTTCGGCCACTCAAACGTACTTGTATAGTATTTGATTGACATTCAGAGTTATGAGGAAACTGAAATATAGATGTAGAGTTTTATATATTAACAAATACTATAATACAGGTATTTAATTCCTTTGATAATAGCACGAAATGAGAACATTCATGCACACGTAGACAACTGGTTCTGAACATGAAAGATAATTAAAACAAGTTAATTGAATTTTCTTTTTGAGATAAAGAAATGCATAATTAAAAGCAACCAGCAATTCACATCTATATCTTATTTAAACGGGTGACAATTTTGATATTTAATTGTAAGAAGCGCTTGAAAAAAAATTAACGTTTTGAGCATTTGTTTAGAACGCTTTGTTATTATGTGAAAGTCTTTGATTCATAAATAAATAAGGTGACGTTGGTAATAATTATTTTTTCTTGGAACAAAACTGAGAATTCAATTTCAAAGTGTGAGAACTTCTCTAAGAAATCTTAAGTGAGAGAAATATTTTTCGGGTAATATGTTGTTTAAAAACATAGTAATAAGCAAAGAATTTCTCTGCAGATTTTTAGAATGTATAGAATTCAGTATTACGCCAATGTCCGAGATGGAATATTAAGTATCATTCACTCTAATATTATTTTTTAAATTGTATCTTTTGATATATTTTCCCTTATATTCCCATAGGTTTGGTCTCACTTGCATGATATGACTCAACACTCTTCTTTTCGTTAATTTATAATTACTCACAGTGATTAAAAATATGTAAGGATGCGATAAGTTTTTAGATAAATATCTTTGTTATGATAAATACAGTTCTATGAAACCAAAACTACTCTTGAAACTAATCAGTTTGCAAGAAACCTTTATTCTTACAATCAACAATCGTCCGTGTTGTTTTCACATTTTTATGGATCGTTCGCGATAATTGCATTGCGAGCTAACTAAGCGTGGAGCAAACACTTGTTGAACACCCGGTGCGGACATGAGGGCGGCGTTATGGCGGCGATCGCCAATACGCGCGGAGTTTGTGTGTTTACCGATAACCGGCGGCGAAATGCGTTCGCCCTATCGCAATATCGCGGAGCGATCGACCTTCGGTCGATACCCATTCGGATATGCGGGCGTGGAGGGGAGGGGCGGCGATGCGACGTTCAGCACACACGTTCTCTCGCGCTTCTCAGAGAAAATACCCCGGTGATGAAGGGGGAAATGGCTGACACGCTACGATGTGTTGTCGCCGCGTTATTGGCGTCCAAGTTTATTAGTACATATAATAAAGTTGATCGTTTCAAAAGATTTCAAAGCGTATGATTTTGTTACATAAAAATTTGATGAGAGAAATATCGAACGAGCCGATATAAATAAAGAAATAAAATAGAGAGTATTGTTATCAAAAAGCCAAGTGTTGTTAACGTTTTCCGTACATTATTATGCGAGTAATTGACAATCAAAATTACCTATTACAGTATATCCTAAGTGTATTACATAAATGATTTTTACTCTTCTAGTGAACCAAATAAAATTAACACCTTTTTGATTTAATCGCGTGTATTGGATCTGAAAGGTAATGTTTTTAAAGACCAGCGGATATAGGAATTGTTTTCCTTTTCGTGGTAAATCTGTCAGTCACCATACATTGTGAATGTCCCCATGCAAGATTGATGATCGATTCAATTACACTTAAGCTTAAAGAAACTCATATAATAAAATGAATGTAATGTATTACTTCTATTATTCATTAATTTATTCATGTGATAAATAAAATATTTATTAATAATTATTACATTTTAATTTATTCTATGGACAAAGGGCACATATATGTGTTTTTCTTATCTCTTTACAACTATGATTTTGAAATCTATGTTGTATTTGCGTACGTAACCATGGCAAAAATATCGACAAATGTATCGCATTAAATCGCATGCGATGACGTCTTAAATCAATATGGACGATGGATGATCAGCGGGCCTGGCAATCCGCATAAAGCGGGCCTGGCAATCCGCAGCGCAGAGTCGCGCAGCGCTACTCACGAGGCGTTCTGCGCCAGGTGGTCGATGATGAGCGTGAGCTTCTTGTCGAAGAGGGCGAGGCGGATCCAGAGGTACTTGGGC